CCATTGTGGGATTTCTCAGTGCTGCAGCTGGCTGGAGCCACGGGGACCATATTCCACTTTCAGAGTTCACTGAGCAATTGCTAAGGCAGGGGACGGGTGCCATATGTTACCAGCTGCGCTCACAGTTATCGCTTTCCCTGTTTAACACTGAGTGACTATTTGGAGGCACAGAAGCAGAGAAACCTGCACGCTTCGTGCCTCTCCCCCATCACCCGGTATTCCGGCAAAGCTGCCACAAATGCCAACAGGCTCTGCTGGCGAGCCCGGGAGCAGGTCCCTGTGCCAGGGAATGGCCAGGCTGTGCTGGCCACTCAGCCCCACCGGGACCCATTGCAAGTGGGGAGGCCCAGGCAGAAGAGATGGGTGCCCCTCAGCTGTCCTCCAGCAAGGGTCTATATGGCCAGCCCCTGGAAAGCCGCCGAGCTCACAGCAGGCAGGTGCAGGCAGCTCGAGGCAGGTACCAGGCTCTGCCCATCGCACGTGACAGCCCGCTGGCTCCACCACCTGCTCGCCTGACCCAGCCCGTCTCCTCCTGGTTCTCCTTTTGTGCTCTTTATTTTTTTTTTCATCTTCCAGAGCTTCTCTCAGTTGTGCATGTAGTGAAAAAGTAATCTTTTTGGAGCAAAAAATAAAAAGAGGTTGGGGTCTGCCCAGAGCACGCTGGGAGGAAATGTTAAATTCAGGATGGGAGGTGGCACCAGACTTTCTAACACCAGATGACCTTTTTCTTCCCATGATTAGCAAGCAGAGCCTGACCTGAAAGAGCTCCCTCACGTGTCGAGTTCACTTTCTTGGAAAGGATGGAGAGCCCAAGGTTTAAACCAAGGTCTTAAGTAATCCACCTGTGATAGAGCTGGCCTTCAAATGCACCAGGATCTCTGGCTAAAGATTTTTCTATCTTAGTTAAAAACCTTTGCATCCTTTCCTCCTGTCAGCACTTAACACCCAGACATTATGGCAATCTACACAAACAGCCCATACCACCCCTCGCTCTTCTCGGAGGAACAGACTGAGAGGCATCCTATAAATAAATAGGACATTTAGGACTATCCAATACCTTACTTCACCGGAAGCTAGCAAAGCTTACGAGAGAAGAGCCAGCAGGACAAGCAAAGGGGTGCATGGGCTGAGCAGAGCATTGCTTTCGCAGCAAGTCTTTTCAGGGCAGGGCAGGACCCCAAATCTTGCAGCCTCCAGCCTCGCTGACACCGAAGAGGCAAAGGGCTCAGGAGGAGAGCAAGCGCCACGGTCCCATCAACCTGAGAGATGCCCGAGTGGAGCCAAGCATGGCTGCAGATGGCAAGAGAGCACAGTAGACTATGAGCCTTCAGAAAAGAGGCTTTTGCAGGAAAGACTGCTTTAGTTTTCAAAGATCGTTTTAACTGACTGGTCTGATTTTACTACTCAGGCTCAGCGCTGCACAGAAACCTACCCAAGCAAAACACTGCAGCTTTTTACAGTCTGAAGGCAAGTCAGTAGCTGGGCTTCTGCACCTCCCTTCCTGACAAGTAAGAGACAGCCTAAGTCTGGAAGCAAGAGGGCTCGTTTTAAAGACCAGCCTAGATTTATGAGCAGCGGGCTGTGCAATTGCCTGAGGCTGTATTCATTTACATTTTTAGAAATGCGTTTTAGAATACATTTTTTCTTACAATGCATAGCTACAAGTATACAGATATGCATAATAAAAGGACACGTATTCTTATTGTAAGCTTCTCCACACGCTAGCTAAATTTTAAAAGGCACCTCTACCTCAAAAGGGACAGTGCAGGAAAAAACATATGGAATACAGTGATGCGCCCCAAATGTGTCCAATGTCAGGTTTTTGAGAAACGGGTAGGTGGACAAGGGGGGAAAAAAAAAATTAAAAAAAAATTAATTCCACAATTGAGAGCTCTCCCTGACAAGCATGTCATGCCACCAAGTTGCCCAGTTTTGAGGGACAGGGCAGCGAGGTGAGAGAAGAAAAACACCAACAGCTAAGAAAGGAGAGAGTGGATACAATGGATCATCCAATTTTTTTATTTTTTTTTTTAGGTACGGTCTGTCTAAAATTTATTCCATTTCCACAGATAGAGGTGGAAAAGGGATGTCACATAATACAGCAATAAGAAAGTAAAAATCAGGCAAGCAACTCCAATGGGAAAGAATAGGAGACGGCATACTGCAACGAAACAGGAGCAATTGGAAGTGTTTACCAGGAAAATTTAATAACAGGGGACGAGATAAAGATACACAAAATAATGAGGGAGTCTTGTCTAGCAATGCGAGGAGACGTACAGAGATTTCTGTTACAAGCTTTCAGTTATAATCTGAATGGTACCTGAATGGTAAAGAAGCGTTTTAAAAAGCAGAAGGAAGAAGTAGCCCATGCAATTCATTGCCAGATTGTACACAACTAAAGTCAAAAAAGACTGGAAATTTAAACAGGTCTTCACGCCTTTCTCTTACCGGCAAGAGTTTTAGAACTGGAAGGGGCATAGAGCCTCTGGACTGGCTTCACGCATGCCCATGCTGCAGCTGGCTGGTAAGGAAGCTGCCCCTCCTGCCAGCTCCAGGGCTGCCAGCTGAGAGGTTGCCTCTGCCAGGCTCCCACTCACCTGCCCGTGGCACCACAGACCACCAGCTCCCTCAGTCCAGCAGTGCCTATTAGCCTCAAGGCTTCTGCAAGGCGAAAACTGGGTATTTTCAAGACTTCAGAAATGACTAAGCAGGACTGGAGATGAATCCTATTCAGCACCATTACCAGGCTGAGCTGAAATATAAGCCTTTGTTTCTAACTCCCGCTATCTAAGGAGCTCAAAGCACTTCACAATTATTTAGCTTAGACTTTGTGAAAGGCTTGTGTGCTATTATCCCTAATTTTACCAGCTGGAAAACGGTGAGGGAGATGGAGAGTGCTATACCCAGGGACATGCAGTGAGTCGGCAGCATTATAGGACCTGACGCTCGCAGCCCCCCAACTGCTCCGCAGCATCAGAAACCGGGTTACTCTGGTTTGCTGGTGCAAGTCCCCAGGCTGTGCCCACAGCAACTGCCAGAAGTAAATATGTTTACCCCTCCTTATTCCTCCCATTAACAGACAAACACTCCCTTTTCATTCATAGCAGAAACAGAAAGAAAAAGCAGAGCAGTATAGGTCAAATTTTTTTTCAAGGCTACTACGGAGAGATTTAGGCATGCAAAGGAGGACAGTAAGAATCAAATACCCTGTGTATAGCTGCAAAGGACCACCCAGGAGAAGGTTTTGGGTTGGTTGGGGTTTTTTTGGTCTGGGTTGTTTTGTTTTTTTTTAATGTCAGCTAAAGGGTAATTTGAAAGTGAAGGACATTCTACTCCTCTGGGGAGCTAATTACTGCAACAAGCACAGCCCAAACCGGCAAAGATGAATGTAACTCACAAGGCAGGAATTTCAACAACACCAATCCTAGAAACGACTTTGGTTAACTGACAGCTTTGCCAAATAAAGTGTACACATCCTTCATGGAGGTAGCAAAACCACTGAGATGGCCTCAGAGAGATTAGGACATCTGAGCTTAGGAGCTCCAAATTCTACCTTCGTACACCAGGGCAGAGCAATAGACAAACTCCTGCAACCTCTCTAAAGAAATAAGAAACATATGAAATACAAAAAATGCACCAAAAAAAAAGATTCGGGGATGTATAATAAGTCCTTGCTGTTCTCACTTGGTTGAGATCACCACTGTTATGCCACTACTTAGCACTGTTACCACCACAATATACATTTTACACCTTTCCTTAAACACTCTCCCCTCCAGACCACTGCCCAACAGTGGTTCCTACTGCACAGGAGCCTACAGCACAGCGGTTCATCATGGGATCACAGGGCAATTCAGGGTGGAAGGGACCTCAGGGGGTCTGTATTGCAACTACAGGGTCAAGCAGGGTCAGCTATAAGGTCAGATCAGGCTGCTCAGAGCTTGATCCTGTCAGGTCTTGAAACCCTCCAGAGATGGAGCCTGTGACTGCTCTTGTTTCAATTTTTGCCTGTTGTTGATCATCTGCAAAAAGCCTGGCCTCCCCAGGACACAAGCTGCTTGCTCATGCACAGTGACAAACACCTTCCTTTGTCTCTCAGGAGAAGAAGAAGAAAAAGGCAGTATAGAAAGAAGAGCCCTCAAAGACTTCTATCAACACTGGTAGATCCTCGTCTGCAAGATTGCCATCTCTCTCTTCGACATCTCCCTCAAGCAAAGCCACCTTCAGCCCAGTTGACGGCTGGAATAAACTAGCAGCCACCGAGGTCCACATGAGCAGAAGTGACTGCCGTCGCCCCGAGTCCTCCAGGGTTAGGATCCGACGGTGCTCTCCCAAACACGGCAAACCTGTGACATGACACTCTCCCTCTGTGCGCAGACAGATCACGTATGGCGGCACTTGACAAAGAAGAGAGGAAGCTGCTGGCAACAAGCAGCAGCAGCTGGTACAGGCTAGTAAAAGTTCATTTTTTTTTCTTTTTTGCCTGCTACATCTCTCCACAGAGAGATTCTGGAGATTTTTGGTTGCAAGTTGAACAAGAGACCTGCTTTCTTCTCTTGAACGCTTGTCTGAGACACATGCAGCTCCTTCCCTTCCAGTGCTAAGCATCTGGCCTGTGTAAATCTTTCTTCCACCTCCTGTGCCACCAAAGCCTCTCTGACACACCTTACAGCTATCCTTCTCATTCCAGCCATGGGCTTGCAGCTGGCCACACAGTTACATGCCACAGTTCAAGGGCACAGAGAATTCCTACAAGCTACACTCCTAAAGCCATGGTCAAAGCACCCATGGACTGAGCTCTGGTCTGCGGAGACCTGCAAGTGACTCGGGCAGCTCAGCTTTTGGAGATGAGACCCCACCAAGCATAGCCACAGCTAGCATTGACCTCGCGCAGAGAGGTGGCTGGCTCTTCATCTCACCAGTGCCCTTGCCCATCACCACTCCCAAGCCTGGCACGATGCTGAAACTTCACCACAATGGGGCTGCCAGCCAAAAAAACACACCTGGCCCCTGGGAGCCGTCACAGCCAGGCAGGACCCAGGGGAACAGCGCAGAGATCAAGGCACCAGCCTGCCCAAGCAGGGCGAGACCAGTGAGAAACAGCAGAGAGTAGAAGTGTGGCTGAGGGGGTGGACAGGGGAGCTACTGAATAGCACCTAGCTAGCACAAATCCTCTCTGCCACCCTTTCACCTAAGCCTGGCAGGAGGGAGGCGCCGGTAACCATCCCTGCAAGCACTACCAGCTCCACAGAAGCTCCTGCCCACTGCTGAGACAGCTGTGTCTGAGTGCCGCTTGTTTCTCAAGTCTGCACTAAAATCACTCCTTCTCACTCTGCGGTACCGTGGAGGTTGTGGTCTCTTCCCCCGTCCAAAACCCTTTCATTTTTCTGCTTTAACTCAGGATTGATGCTGTACAGCTGCTTCCCCCAAAATAAAGAGTACGAGAGTTGCCACCTCCTCAAGTGCTTTGAAACCCTTTCTCCTGCTCTGTCATTACCTGTGTAAGAAAAACCTCAAAGCTTGATTTCTTCCCTCAAATCACTTAACTCTGAAAAAGCTCAACGTTTTTGGGAGCACAGATGAAAAAACCACTGAGATAAAAGTCTGAAGCTTCTGAAGAGGTTAGACCTGGGCCTCTTCGCTGTTATCTAAGTAAGGGTACAGGCACACAAACAACTCGTTGCAGAGATATAGTGGAGTACAAATTTGCAGTGACTCACGCACTCTGAAGTAACTGCCATGTGCTCGCTTCTACCCCGCAGCAAAACACAAGTTTATTTACCCATCAACACAAGATGAGAAGCACAAAGCAGCATCTCGGATGCGCAGCACCCCTGGAGCTTTACCACCTAAATTATTGCACAGAAACCTACTCCTCCTGCCCATATTTCAAGAGTTATTAACATAAGGGATAATTCAAACGACAATCTGGAAAATACTGCTGTCCTGCCGGCGGTGCCACTTTTACAGGGATGCTGCTTTCTTTCACCTGCAAATTCTTTGCTGTCCTTAACTTCTTCAAAAAGCAAAGGAGGAGCCCATGTACTTCTCAGAGTCAGTAACAAGCAAGCCAGGACCCTGACACGATTGTCAGTTAGGTGTGTATGGTCCCCATATCCCTCATTTAATTGATCCAGTTTTCTAACTCCCCTCTTCAGTATGTCCAAGTGTCCTCCCAGTTCAACCATAAAGTCAAAATTTCCATCAGTTGCTTAGGGACTCCATGGGGGAAGTTTCCAAAAGCAGTCACGTCTTCAGCTACTCCTGGAAGAATTCATTTCACTCAACACCGGCTGCCTAACCCAAGTCTAACATCTAGGCTCTTTCTTTAGTGAACTTAGAGAAGGATGCATTTAATTTAAACAAAGATGGGCTGGTCTCCAGATTTGTCCCTCTCTGTCCTCTGAGCGCAGATATTGCCTCAACATCTACCTTAGGCAACGTGCCAGGTGTTAGATGAGCGGGAGGCCACTTGTGTGATCATCTAAAAATCTTTTCCCCCCACTTGAGTAAAAGAGCATGAACTAGTCTCCGCAATTCCGTGTCAGCCTCAGGGAACTGAACTCTGAAGGCAAACAATGGAGTTGCAGACTTTGTACGTGAGCTAATCCTTTCTCATAAATCAATCGCAAGGCCACGGTTCCACAACATCTTGAAGAGCTGCACCCATTTTTTTCTTTTTCACCACCTCCCTCAGCCCCTGCAACTCAGTCTGAGATGCCCTAAATTCTTTGTGCTAACACATCTCACAGTCGAGGTATAACTCCTTCTTCTCAACAATGTAGCTCAGGAGGAGGTGAGAAGAGGGGTAGCATGATACAGAAAGACTTATTTTTGAAGCAGGTGCAGTACACTGACAACTGGTGAAAAAGGTTAAGCCTTGATACACGTTTCCCCATGGCAGAAGGCCCTTGAACCACAGTACTGGCCTCATTCCTAGCTTCAGTGAGATTAGCACTTGAACCGCATGCCTAAATTCAGATAAGAGTCCCACACAGTGCCTGTGGAGCACTTCTTACTCCAGGCCATCAGAGACTTCAGGTCCTCTGAGTGGTACTACATCCTGGCCAAGGTCTCCATGAATGAAAGGAACCTCAAGTGGAGACACCAAAAATGGGAGAGGGACAAGCAACCATGTTTGCTGTGCATGAGGCGGACAGAAGTGCACTTTCAAGCCCAACCCGCACATCTTTGAAGCTGACAAGACTATTTTTTTAGCAGCTGCAGAGCCCTGGATACACAGCCCTCAATGCTGCTCAGATGGCAGGAGCAAAGATACATCCCAGCTGCTCTGCTGCAAGCTAAGATGTCCTGGTGCAGACAGCAGCCTCATATGCTGCTGCACCAGTGTCCCATCCAGCTGCCCCAAAACTCCCAGCTCCTCCATTACAGGGCTGTACTGCCTGGGTGACTCTTCCTGCAGCTCTTCCCTCAAATCACAGAACACAACAAGTCAAAGCTCCCAAAGCAGCAAGTCTAAAATCAACACTGCTCCAAACGCACCTATTTCATACAAAAATGGAGAGAATAGAAACGCTAACAAATCTGTCTCCCTCCAGGCTTTGCTGCTGCCAAAAAACGAGCCGCTCAATCTAATGAGTCAATTAAAAATTCATAACCAGATGAAAGTTTGGTTCTGTTTCTGAGAAAATGAGAACAATAACTCTCATTTAGCTCTCGTGTACCTCTTCTTGCATATCATCTGCAGCAACAGAGCTGGCCGGAAAACCCATGACCTGTAGCGGAGAGCTAAAATGACAGGAGAAAATAAGGGTGTGTGTTGTGTCCAGCCCTGCAGAGAGGAGTCCATTTCCCTGGCAGGTCCTCAGGGTCCAACAGGGCTGAAGTCAGCACCGGTTCACATGAACAGAAGCCAGAGGGGAGGATCTCCGTAAGGGCTTGTTGTCTACAGGTCATCACACTCCTGGGGGCACTCTGGAAAATTCAGTTTTTGTCAGAGTTTGGTTAAACCACAGAAAACACCACATTCAAAGAGCAAGTGACCCCAAGTCAGTTCTGAAGTGAATTTTCAGAAATGAATTAAGCTAAACCGTATTAGGGCCCAAAATTCTGAGCACAACCATCCATGAAGGGGCATAATGTGATTTAACTAATCCACTAAAAGTTAATTTAGATCAATTTTCTTGAGCATCTCAGACACACACGTAAGCCCCAAAGCCAATGTCCTCAAAACACTATTCACGGGTGTCTACGGAGTCCCAAATCTTATGTGCCTTGTACTAGTGGCAAGGGTGGGACAGAGCAAAAGCATCTCACCCAGCAAGTCCCAGGCTGGCCATCGAAGAAGCTGCTGAGCTACAGTTAAAACCTGGAGGGCACTGGATCTCCAGGGAAGAGCAGCAGAGGAGCTCCCCACTGCCCAGCCATCGGACGCACTGGCTGTGCTTATCCATATCCCTATCCCGTGCCGTGCTCCATGCCAGCAGCCAGCGCAGGTACTCTCACTTGCACTAACAGCTCTGCCCTAAGGACCCTCGCTCACGGGCTAATTCCCACCGGGTGCAGCTCCCCGGCAGGGGAACCCAGCTGCAAACCCGGACTACCCCAACCCCACCCTGCTCCCAGGCAGGTTTTTTTTTCTCACTGGGTGTTGGTTTTCAATGGGTTTCACTCCCTGACATGACTTTACAGCAGCAGCACTGACTCAGCCTTGTTTAAACTAAACAGAGAACCGCAAACCTGGACACCTGAAGAAAATCACGGAACGAAGAAAAATCAGAATAGACTATTCAGGTGTCTATGTCTCAATTGCTCACAGACATCAGACAGGAAAGCAGGCAACTAACAAAGCACTTGTACCCAGGCCGTGGGACGTGGCCTGGGCTGGCACCTCTGAAGGGAAGGAGCCACGGTGCACAGGAGCTGAAGGAAGGCCAGGAGCACAGCACCTAGGAGGGCTATTGTGATTTAGAATCACACCTCAGCTCCTTTCGCAAGGGGCATTGCACACAGGAAACCCAGACTGGCTAGCACAGTCTGGATAACACCAAAATGGTTTCCAAACCAGGCTCACAAACATCTAGAAAACTAAGCATGCTGTCTGCTAGAGGGGTGTCTCTGCTGCGGAGGAGCTCTTTTAGAAGTCCTTCAGCCAACGAGTTTGATGGAAGCTATTTGACCACTGTTAGCCGAGTTAGAGACTTCAAATCCAATCCCATTTTGAGATACAGAAAGCAAGCTGAAGCTTGAAAAGGTCAAATGAGCTAGTTAGAGAGGTGCTGTGGAAATACTCCAGATTTTAAAGAACCTGTTTTTTATTTTTCTAACACAGACAAAAAAAAACCCAAACCCGAACCAACTCCCCCGCATTAATCTACAGACAGCTCAATCTGAGCAGTGTGCTGGTTTCAGGACACGTTCAGCACTGCCCTCTGTTAAGAGCCTGAAGACGACCCTCTCTCCTGTTCCCTTTACGTGCTTCTCGTTATTGCTCCTCTCCTCCTCGTTCCGCTATTTTGCCACCTTTGGCACACAGCTCTCTCCTCTGCAGCTTGTGCCATCTGGAGCAGCCTCCGTACCCCTCTCTTTCTGTGTGAATCAGTTCATAGAATCATAGAATAGTTAGGGTTGGAAGAGACCTCAAAGATCATCTACTTACAACCAACCTGCC